ATCTTCACCGTGCTCCTCAGTTTAACTCATGGTTCTGGTCGCCATTTTCCCCTGGTGACATGAAGGATGTGGTGTATAATAGACGTGGACACGCAGCAGGACACAGACCAAAGTCTCCTCAGGGGGATGTCACAGAGAAAGGCACTGAGAGGTGAACTGGAGTCAGACCTGTCCTCAGAGTGTTGAGTGAGATGCAAACACAGACATGAAGACTCGCACATCTGACGATGGTGGTGGAGATGCACTGACCACGTTGCGACAGAACGACAGCACCAGCATGGAGCTGACATCACAGCATCTGATGTGCTTACACAGGGCGTTGTTCAACTTTCTGTCCTCACTGGCTCTCAAACAGGCCGATGTGTTTCCATCTGTCAGGTTAGCAAAGACGGGTGTGACTGTCAAACACTCTGAACAGGATGCAGGGAAACCTGACGACTGATGAAGGCAGGATTTATTGTCCTGAGGATGAAGCTCATCTGTCAACACAGTGGAGAAAACAAACAGCTGCTTCTTTCATTGGTAGAAAAAAAAAACACATGAAAGAAATGACAGTAAACTTTATTTCTCTAGCACATTGTGCGTCGCTGTGCAGCAGAGTAAAAACAATCATTTATAAAAACTAGAACGAGCAAACGTCTTGTCACAGCGGAGGCCAAACTGCTGGTTCTGGATCAGATGAATGAAGACAGAGGCTGTGGAAGTGCCTTTCTGTTAATTATTTAATTTAATGCATTGATTTCTAAGTATTGTTTCCTTATTTATTTATCCTGTTGGTTTTAATGGTGCTGATCTTAAAAGTAAACTTTTAATATATTTGTTATGCAACAAGATGATGTGGTTTTGGAGTAGATCATCTGATAAACAGTGGAGCCGCCCCCGGAGAGCAGAGCGGTAGCCTCGGTCCCACTCTTTATTATTCTGCCTCGGACACAAATACGGGCTCGCATTCTCCAGTGTCCCTCAGTTTACACACATCTGGGACTCGCACATCTGGGACCCACGGTTCACCCACCGTGTTGCCCCTTCACCGGCTGCTCTTGACGTCTCTGCCTCAGGCTTTTTTTTTTTATATTTGCTGCATCAAAGGTTTAGTTGCTCTGTTTTTAATACGTGACATCATTGATCTTTGTTTCTCAGGTTGTGTTTGAGGCTGAAGCGGATCTTATTAACGTGATGTCAGACCTTTTTTATTTGTTTTTGTACTGTACAGTTTTATAATGATTTGTAAAGAGTGTAGAAAAGAATGGCGCTGTACTGGGGAGTGGCTCACCGGGTGTCACACGCAGTAATAAAGGCTCAGCTCCGTGCTGTTACGATGACTCAGCGCCTCTGGTTTTCTGTCTGTGGTGATCAGACGTCTTCTGTGGGCGATTTGCTTCTCTCTGATTCTGGTTTGACTTGTTTTACAGTCATTTTGTGCCTTTGTTGCATTTTGTCGTCCTCTGTGTTTCTCTGTTCTCATTTCCTGTGTCTTTGTGGACTTTCCATCGAGGGGCCTGTTGACCAGTCAGCTAACTACATCCCTCTGACTGTGGCGTCAAGCCCTGCTTAACACACCCGGTCATTTCTCCACTGATGTTGCTCTGTTTTGTTCCTCCTGTCTGACAGTCACGCGACATCTCAGTTCCCTCTCATCTGCAGTGGCGCCGGCGGTCGCTTGCTCGGCTACATCCTCCACAGTTGACTCTGTCAGGAGATAAACTGGTACCTGGCTGTGGAAATGTTG